TCTACATGGTATGTTTGAATTATTTCTTTGCTTGTTTGTTTGAATCGCTTGTGAGTTTAAAATATGTTGCCACCATTTGGGCAGGGATGTTTCAGGGGTCCCGTCACCCACCCTACCAAAGCCTCCTGCTTCCTTTTTATTAAAATGTATTGATTTATTGAATTGCGCGTGCACCGTTTGCCAGTTGACAAAAGCAAAAATAAAAGATTAAGACGTAAAAGAGCAAAATGATAAATAAATAAATTATAATGGATATACATCACCCCATGGTACAGAACTGTCACCAACTAACAAGTTGTGATGCACATCCTTTAATTAAGTTATATTAATTAAAATATTTTACCACTGGCATTAGATAAATCCACGCAGTTCGTCAGAAGATAATTAATGAATATAGGATGAAATTTTTTTTTCCATAGATTTCCTAGAAGAAACCAATAACTGATCTTGTTCACCCGGAACCTTTGTTTGAGGAGACTTCTGAAGGTAGTGTTGCACTTAGGACAGCATTGGTGGACGGACTATACACAAAGCAGCGTGAGTGATCCCGGAGAGCCGATATTTAATAGATGTGTTATTAAATAAGAGTAATATTAGTGAAATGAGGTGTCAGAAAGCTTGAATAATCGGGTTAGCTGTTTTATTAGCTTCTGTAGCTTTAGCATAACCAAATAAACGCGTAGCTCAGTTGCTAACTGCTCATTCATTACTAACGGACGATGAATTAATCGAATGTGTTGCTGCAAATAATCCAGATACTGTCTAAATAATAGATGAAGTTGACATTGTTTTAATGAGGTGGTGTTTTTCCCCTTTTTTCCCCCCAACAGTCGCTTTATGTTGATCGGAAGAATTTGCAGACTCGGAGCTGCAGGAAGATCCTGTTTCACTCTGAGTTATTTTTCCAGCTCCGCTGTTATTATGGCAAAAAGTAAGTTTGAATATGTCCGCAGCTTTGAAACAGACGACACTTGCCTAAAGAACTGCTACATTGTCGTAAGACTGGACGGCCGCAACTTCCACAGGCGAGTTTTCTGCTTCATTGTACTGTTCTTAGTTTAAAAATGTAACATTTATTTTATCTATCTTTAAACTATTGTTAAATAAATGCTCTCTGTGTGTGTTTACACCTTGAAGCTTTCTCTCTCTGTTTTTTTTTTCCTGAAAAGAGATCAGTTAGGACAAACTCTTTAAATAACACTTCATAACTTATATGTATTAAATAACAATGAGAATTTACTACAGAGTTTGATAGAAATTGTAATCCTACTCAGATCACATAAATTGCTTAGAGTTTACAGAAGGCAGCTGCTCACCTCTGGGCTCACCTCACAGGAAGTGACCCTGATTAACAGTTAAAAAGGCATTTTATACATCTCCAATCTGCCACATCATCACATCACACATGTTAGCAGATGAGGAGACATCAATGGCTGCAGCCTTATCAAAATATTACACTTTGTTCTTAACTGAAGGGCACAGCTATCCGGTCTGTGGTCCTTTGC